GTGAAATATTTTAAATTATTTTAAGGGAAATTCCAAATTTCATAAATTTCTTCCAGATTGATAAAGTGCTCTGCAGAAATAATTAAACTAATAATTTAGTAGTGAAAAAATATCCATCCTCTTTCAATCTCAAAATCATCCAAGGGTATTATATTTATTAGAGGCCCTGGTGGGGGCTGTGACTTGCAAGGATCAGTCCTCTGTGGGAGTACTGCTCATCTGGTCAGCTGTGCTGCTGAGGACCTGCCCTCTGAGTGGCTGCTCAGCTGAGGGGCACTCCCACGTGGGAGCACACTGACCACAGTGGGGCAGCTCCTGCATTGAGCGTCTGCCCCCCGGTGGTCCGTGCACATCATAGCGGCTGGTCAATCAGTTGTTCTGGTCATTCTGCCATTTGGTGGCTGGGTTTTTATTATATAGGTTGTCATTACTTTGATCACAAAAACATCTTGTTAAATCTATTTGATTACTAGTGAGATCAAGCATTTTACAGAATTATTAGCAAATGGCATAAATTGTTAGAAATTATTTGTTTTCCTTTTTTTCATGTCTATTGTTCTCATCAATTATGTGACACTTTACATATTAACATCATGTGATATATGTATTCTGATCTTTAGCTTTATTTACTGTTTTGTAAATAAGTTCATGGTGTTTGGGAAAATAAAGTGATAATTTATAAGTACTCAAACTTATATGTTTCCCTTTATGGTTTCTTATACTGTCATTTTTGCAAATTTTAGCTTAGTACATGTTCCTTTGATCAATAAAACTCATTTTTTTTCCTGATAAAAATAATATGGTTTATTGCACCTAAAGTTTAAAAGAAACACTCACATAAAGGCCTGCCAGAGAAGTTATGTATATTTGTAACACTCAACTAATTGTTAACATGTTTCTACATTGATTTCAAAATAAATTTCATGATAGATATAGGAAAGCATGTTGATTAAAAAGCTGTTTTGAATGCATTAATATATAAACTTAATGGCTATATGTCTTAACTATGGACAGTAGGATTTCAGATTTTTATTTTCTTCTTTTATTATCCTATGAATTTCTAAAAGTACTATAACTTAGTTGGTCCGAAGGTTGTGGGTTATTGTTAAGCTGATTAAAAGTACTATAACTTATGAAATAAATAATTTAGTCAGGGAAATGTAATGAAACAGAAGACAAGTTGCATAAATAAAACTGGTTAACTTTCCTTGAGAAAGGAGGAAAAGAGAATTCCTCAGCATTTTCATAAACTGTATAATTACTAACTCTGATGTCTGCTGATCTAATGTCTGTTATTTACTTTATTATTTGTGCTGACTCTTGATTATGACTTTTGATCATCATGTATTTTGTGATTCTATTGGAAACTTAGTTTCATTAAACTTTCTCTGTGCAAGTTCTTTGAGATCAAGTTTATAGTGTACTTTGCTAGAAAGTATTTAACATTGCTTATGATGCTAACTGGGGAATCCCCCAATCTTGGAGTTAAATTAAAATTTCAGCTTGTAATTTTACTACAAAGATAATAAAGGCTACATAGGTAGTGCAAATTCTGGTCCCAAACATACATATGCCCAAGGTAATTATTAGCAATCCTCAGAGCAATGCATCTCCTTTCCTTCCTTCCTTAATTCATGTCATGGTTGATAGGCACTCCCCCTAAAAATTTAGCCTTTTGCTGGGCATATTTTATTGTCTTGCTGCTCTGTAAATAATTGCCTTTCAGTATTCCTAGTATGTGATAGAATCCAATTACATTTCCAGTCTTGAAGAGGCTTGACCTAGGTATCTTATTCTCCAAGCACATGATCCTTTAAAACTAAGCTCTAGATTAAAAGAAGATTCAAAATGCCCCAAGGTTCTATTTTCAGCATTTTCTCTCTCTCAAAATTTGCACTTTCCCACCATTTTTGGCACCTGAGGATAAACAAACAAACAAATAAACCCACAAACTTTTTAGGGGCCGTGAACTTAAAAGATTTGTTTGTACATATTTTTAGGAATCCAATTAGGTATGAGGCATTGTTTTTTAATATGTTCCAAGGATTGAATTCTTTTAAATCATCCAGCAATTCTTTTGCCAGTTTTGCTGGATATATAATTTCATCTTGACTATTCTGAATGGCTTGCACATGTTTGTGTAGCCACACCAGGTCTATACTGATATTATTATGATTCCATATTCCCTGTAGGTACATCTTGATCTTATTCCAATCCCACAGAGAACTGTTATAGAAGGCTTAAGTCACACAAAAATATGTAAAAGCAGCATTGCATCGCAGCTGCTGTCTAATCTTGATACTTTCCAATTACGTAGCACTACAGCTTCCAAAGCATTTATCTTTGTTTCCAGCCTTTTGTCTATATCTTCTTGATCATGAAATGTAGTTGAGGTGTTCTGAGCCAATTCACTGACAAACTTTGCATTTTGGATGCTTTGGATCAATACAAGAGAAGCAGTTACAGCAGATGCAATAACAGTAATTAGAGTAACAACACCAACAATAATAAGTCCCAAAGCACACTTTTCCCCTGACAGCTGATTGTGTAATTCCTACGATGCTTGAAGGCCTACATCATGATACCATTTTTCTGTTATCTTGGTAGGAAACAATAAAAGAGGGCTGCTTTAAAATTAATATATCTTCATTCAGGTTATGCCTGGAGACACAGCTGCTAAGGTTACAGTGATGGCATTGGATAGCATAATGGGTGTCCAATCTAGTGATATTCACATTTCCAGTCACCAATACATATGGGTGCTGGACACAGGCTCATAAGCCATAACAGGGGCTCAAAGTACCGTATTTTTCGGACCATAAGACGCTCCGGACCTTAAGATGCACCAGTTTTTAGAGAAGGGAAATGAAGAAAAAAAGATTCTGAAACAAATAGTGTCCTAAAAATATTTTATGTGCATTAAAACCCAACATCACAGTCATAAACACATGTAATCAACCCTGTAAAGTAAACAGCAGCATTTAGAACCATTTTAGAGCCGGGCAAGCACACAGAGACCACACAGAGCCGGGCAAGTAAAAAAACTTTTTTTTTAAGTATATGTGTAGGCTATATTTGGACCATAAGACGCAGGGACTTTCCCCCCCCACTTCTGGAGGAAAAGAAGTGCGTCTTATGGTCCGAAAAATACGGTACATGCTCCTTTAGTGTTAGCTGAAAAAAAACCAATAAAATTAAGAAAATCAAGAGCAGCGGCTAAATGCCACAGATCTTTCTGTAAACATCCTGTTTTTGTGTTTAGGGCATTACCTTTGACATAGGCTCGTGGTAGGGATATTTAGCATCAAGCCTGTGGAATCAATCTAATACATACAAGTCAGAGCCAGAGATATTATGTCTCACTGGTACAGGGTCGGCACAATCTTGCCATTGAGGAAATGCTCCCAACACAGCAGTGGTGCTATTAGGGCAGGAGGGGAGCAGGGGATGCTTATCAGACAGCCATTGGGTGGCCTTAGGAAATCCTAGTTTAGTGACTGTCTGAACATATTTTCCCATATCCCAGGGTCCTTCAATGTTAGCAATGTTTGTGCCACCATAGGATGTCTTACTCTCTTGGCCAAGCTGTAAACATCCTGAAGTTTCCTTCTTTGATAAGCAAATAGGGAGCTCCCCACTAAAGCCATTATAAGTAAAAACACTTTGGGAAAAAGGAGTTATATGCTTATATGTGAATCGTCTAAAAGTTACTCTCAGAACCTTGAAATACACTTGGAAAGATCAAATATACAGATTTATATATATGATTTTAAGATTATATACTTAGCCAAAACTGGTTTGGCCCAGAGGATAGAACATTGGCCTGCAGTTCTTTATTAATAAACTTTTATATTCTTAAGAATAAATTTTAAAATCTAATAATTAACTTTAAACTATGTTTTTTCCTGCCCCGGGGAAACTGAGAAGCAAACTTGTAGTTATTCACATGTAAACTTGTCCTTAAAAGAAAAAAAATGGCTACTGGTGAAAAGCTGATTTCAAAGGAGCCACCTTTTGGCTGCTTGACCTTTTCTGGGAAGGTCTGCTAGGAAAAGGTGTAGCCATTTAAATGCAAATTAACACATTCTTTAAAGATGGCTGCTGGTGGGAAGGGTCTACCCTTCCTCCATTAAAAATAGTTGAGTATCTAGCTCTAGCCAGTTTGGCTCAGTGGATAGAGTGTCAGCCTGCAGACTGAACCAGTTCCAGGTTCAATTCTGGTCTAGGGTACATGCCTGAGTTTTGGGCTCTATCCTCAGTAGGGGGCATGCAGGAGGCAGCTGATCAGTGATTCTCTCTTTTCATTAATATTTCTATCTCTATCCCTCTCTCTTTCTTTCTGAAATCAATAAAACTATATTTAAAAAAAATAGTTCAGTGCCCAGGTAAATATTTTTAAATTTAAATTATTTATTGTTGAAAGTATTACGTATGTCTGCCTTTTCCCGGTTGACTTCTCTCAGCCCGCTCTCACACCCCAACACCAGACAGTGTCTAGATAATTGAGTCACAATCTATTATTCTCTTTATGTTATAACTAGAAGTGTTCCCTGCCCAAATTAACACAAGATAAATTATTATGTTAATGGTGATATTAGAAAATTATGAAGAAATCCAATTTTTGTTTCTGTTGTGTTTTGTTTCTTAGAGATATGTGTTTGGTTCTCCTGGGCCACGAGTCAGGTTAGCAAATGCAAAATTGTCTCAGACAAGTAAAACCCATTAAACAAACTTCTATTTGCATGTTAACAAATTGTAGGTGCGCATTCAGACAGGAACCCATTCTCTAGATGAGCTGAGTTTTACACATAAAAGTGGAAGGGTCTCTGTGAAGATATTTCAGATTCCATCAAAAGCATTAAGTGGGACACTTTGAAATATTTATGTAATGAAAGAAAAGAAAATCATTCTTCCAACAACCAGCCAACACATATCTCCTCCTGCATCAGGTAATCTATATAGCATATATGTAACAGAAACTATATTAGGGCTTGGCAGCTATGCTGAGTATAGCAGAAGGTCTCCTTATTTTTATAGTACTTGGTGAATCAATATTGGGGGTTTTAGGAAATGGATTTATTGGACTTGTAAACTGCATTGACTGTGTCAAGAACAAAAACTTTTCTGTAATTGGCTTGATTCTCATTGGCTTAGCTACTTCGAGAATTTTTCTGATATGGATAATAATTATAGATGGATTTATAAAGTTATTCTCTCCACATTTGTACTCCTCTGGAATCCTAACTGAACCTATCACTTATGCATGGATATTTATAAGTCACTTAAGTATCTTGTTTGCCTCCAGTCTCAGCATCTTCTATTTACTGAAGATAGCTAATTTTTCCCACCACATTTTTCTTTGGTTGAAGTATAGAATCAATAGAGTACTTCCTCTTCTCATGGGATTGATGTCTGTTTCATGGTTATTTACTTTTCCACAAATTGTTAAGATTATTGATGATTTTGAAATAGGCAATAGAAACAAAACCTGGCCTCTCACCGTAAGTAAAATTGAATACGTTACTAACCACATTTTGCTCAATCTGGGAGTCATTTTCCTCTTTACACTGTGCCTGATTTCATGCCTCTTGTTAATCATTTCTCTTTGGAGACACAACAGGCAAATGCAATCGAGTGCCCTAGCTGTCAAAGACTCCAGCACAAAAGCACATGTGAAAGCAATGAAAGTGTTGATATCTTCTCTCATCCTCTTGATCTTGCATTTTGTAGGCATTACCCTAGAACTATCGTGCTTTTCTGTACCAGAAAGCAAATTGCTGTTTATTTTTGGTATGGCCACCACAATCACCTATCCCTGCGGTCACTCATTTCTCCTGATTCTAGGAAACAGCAAGTTAAAGCGGGCTTTTCTGAAGGTACTATGGCCTTTAAATAACTAAGCTAATATTTCAGCCGAGGATAGGAGACCTCTCAGAACTCCATAGTCAGGCCTGGGGAGAAATGGATGCTCAGTGAGAATAATCCAATGAAAAACGCCTGAAGATATTTCACTTGCATCACATTCTTGCATTGGCTTTAACTGTGTCACAAAACATCACTAAGATCTTCCACAATGATTTCGATGACATCTCAGGAAATTCCATTCTTCAAGGAGATTGTAACCTGACGTGCAAACTCCTTTGTTCAGTCTGCTTCCTCACCTGCAATTTCTTTCCACACATCTCCCAGAGGAAAAAAAAAAAGCATGGGGACTATTCACTGCACAGTTGATGGTGGTGGAATAAGCATGTGAAACCAGACTCTTCACAGTGCTTTGCCTGACTTCCCTGAAGCACTGGCACCCTGTCACCAAGAGACCCAGACAAAAAGAAATAAAAGTAAAGAAAGTGATGATCAACCTTGACATTGAAAACATGGATGTGAGAAACAGAGACATGGGTGTTTCTCTGAGTTTGCAATTTTAACTCTTTAAAAGGTTAATTTTATTTTGACTGTTTAAATATTAATCCTAATGTGGTTTTGTTTGTTTTTTACTGGTGTGTGTTTGATGTAGTAGGAGTAGTCATACCATCAAGTGTGGTTCTGTTAAAAATAGGTCAGGAAGCTGAGTCTACTTGGAGGAAAGGGATAAAAGCACTAATAAAATCAGGTTTTATGTTCTTCACATCTACTGATGTGACATGAAGCAAAATCATGAACCAATTAGAGTTCAGGAAAGAAGCTGCTAGAAGGATGCATTCAAAGGACTCCACATAGTCAAGGAGCTATGCCAAGAACACAAACTGACTCAGGATAGACTTAGTGTGTAGGATGAACTATTCTGCTTTAGAATTTTTTTAAACACACACACACACACACACACACACACACACACACACATATTCATACACACAAATTTGCACTCAAGGACATATTTCAATTAAAGGGAATGTTTATATCCAACCCAGGATGTGAATCAAGTGGACTTATTTTGGCAGCTTGCAAAAGTTCATTGCCTTATACTTACATGATGCTTGGAAGATTTTTAAGTATAAAGGTTTAATTCATTTAATAAATATTTTTGAACACTAACTCAAGTGCTGGGAATATAATATTAAACAGGATCCCAGTATAATGGGTAAGATATTCTAGTAGAAAAACAAATAAGTAAAAAACAGTAACTTAATTATATTTGTTTTGGCCAAAACCGGTTTGGCTCAGTGGATAGAGCCTTGGCCTGCGGACTGAAAGGTCCCAGGTTCGATTCCAGTCAAGGGCATGTACCGTGGTTGCGGGCACATCCCCAGTAGGGGGTGTGCAAGAGGCAGCTGATCAATGATTCTCTCTCATTGATGTTTCTAACTCTCTATTCCTCTCTTTTCCTCTCTGTAAAAAATCAATAAAATATATTTAAAAAAAATTATATTTGTTCTGGGGAGAGAAAAACAAAAGTATGCTATGCAAATAGCCTGACTTGGTCCTGGGAGTAGAGATGATGCCATTGAGTTTGAGATAGTTTGGTTTAAGATCTGACAATTGCATAAGAATATGGTGGGCAGAGCAGAAGAGATTTGGGACATGGAAGCAGCATTTGTGTAGGCTGGAAGGAGTGTATAGCATTCCAGGAATGGAGAAGCCCAGTGTGACTACCAAAGAGAGGGTGAAATATTTTAAATTATTTTAAGGGAAATTCTAAATTTCATAAATTCCTCCCAAATGGATAAAGTGCTCTGCAGAAATAGTTAAACTAATAATTTAGCAGTGAAAAAATATCCATCCTCTTTCAACCTCAAAATTATTCAAGGGTATTATATTTAACTAGAGGCCCTGCTGGGGGCTCTGGTCTTGCAGTATTCCCTGTGGGAATACTGCTCATCTGGTCAGCTGTGCTGCTGAGGACCTGCCCTCTGAGTGGCTGCTCAGCTGAAGGGCACTCCCACGTGGGAGCACACTGACCACAGTGGGGCAGCTCCTGCATTGAGCGTCTGCCCCCCGGTGGTCCGTGCACATCATAGCGGCTGGTCAATCAGTTGTTCTGGTCATTCTGCCATTTGGTGGCTGGGTTTTTATTATATAGGTTGTCATTACTTTGATCACAAAAACATCTTGTTAAATCTATTTGATTACTAGTGAGATCAAGCATTTCACAGAATCATTAGCAAATGGCATAAATTGTTAGAAATTATTTGTTTTACTTTTATTTTCTCATGTCTATTGTTCTCATCAATTATGTGACACTTTACATATTAACATCATGTGATATATGTGTTCTGATCTTTAGCTTTATTTACTGTTTTGTAAATAAGTTCATGGTGTTTGAGAAAATAAAGTGATAATTTATACGTACTCAAACATATCTTTCCCTTTATGGTTTCTTATACTGTTATTTTTACAAATTTTAGCTTAGTACTTTTTCCTTTTATCAATAAAATTCATTTTTTTCTGATAAAATAATACTGTTTATTGCACATAAATTAAACACACACACACACATATAAAGGTCAACTAATTGTTAACATGTTTCTACATTGATTTCAAAATAAATTTCATGATAGATATAGGAAGATGTTGATTAAAAAGCTGTTTTGATTACATTTATATATAAACTTAATGGCTATATCTCTTAACTATGGACAGTAGGATTTCAGATTTTTATTTTCTTCTTTTAGTATTCTATGAATTTCTAAAAGTACTATAATTTATGAAATAAATAATTTTGTCAGGGAAATGTAATAAAACAGAAGACAAGTTGCATAAATAAAACTGGTTAACTTTCCTTGAGAAAAGAAGAAAAGAGAATTCCTCAGCATTTTCATAAACTGTATAATTACTAACTCTGATGTCTGCTGGTCTAATGTCTAAGGTTATTTAGTTTATTATTTGTGCTGACTCTTGATTATAGACTTCTGATTATCATGTATTTTGTGAGTCTATTGGAAACTCAGTTTCATTAAACTTTCTCTGTGCAAGTTCTTTGAGGTCAAGTTTATAGTGTATTTTTTTTAATGTTTATTTTTTTCTGGTCCCCTTTGCAAATTCTTTTTTTTTTTTCTTTAAATATATTTTATTGATTTTTTACAGAGAGGAAGGGAGAGGAATAGAAAGTTAGAAACATCAATGAGAGAGTAACATTGATCAGCTGCCTCCTGCACACCCCCTCCTGGGGATGTGCCTGCAACCTAGGTACATGCCCTTGACCAGAATCGAACCCAGGACCATTGAGTCCGCAGGCCGATGCTCTATCCATTGAGCCAAACCGGTTTCGGCTATAGTGTACTTTGCTAGAAAGGATTTAACATTACTTATGAAGCTGAATGGGGAATCCCCCAATCTTGGACTTCTTTAAATTTTCTGTTTTCAAATTTACTACAAAGGTAATAAAGGCTACATAGGTCATGCAAATTCTGGTCCCAAACATGCATATGTACAAGGTAATTATTAGAAATTCTCAGAGCAATGCATCTCCTTTCCTTCCTTCCTTCAATTCATGTCATGGTTGAGAGGTACTCCCCCTAAAAATTTAGCCTTTTGCTGGGCATATATTATTGTCTTGCTGCTCTGTTAATAATTGCCTTTTAGGGTTCCTAGGATAGAGATAGAATTCAATTACATTTCAAGTCTTGAAAAGGCCCAACCCAGGTATCTTATTCTCCAAGCACATGGTCCTTTAAAACTAAGCTCTAGATTAAAAGAAGATTCAAAATGCCCCAAGGTTCTATTTTCAGCATTTTTTCTCTCTCAAAATTTGCACTTTCCCACCATTTTTGGCACCTGAGGATAAACAAATAAACAAACAAACAAAAACACCCACAAACTTTTCTGGGGCTGTGAACTTAAAGATTTGTTTGTACATATTTTTATGTATTTTTGCACTGGAGATATTTCTTCAGACATCTGGTTTGCTATTTCCTTAAAAGCAAAAGTTAGTTGTTTTTTCTAGTTTGTTTTAAGTCTTTCTTCCTTTTTTTGTAATTATATGTATTCAAAACTGTATATTTCTGCCTAAATATTGCTTTAAATATATTCCACAATGTTGACACATAGTTCTTATATTGTCATTCAGCTCAAAGCATTTTAAAATATCCTTTGTAATTTTCTTTTAATGCAAGGGTTATTAAACAGAATAATTTTCTAGTTACATGATATATGTAATGGCAATTTTTATATTGAAATTTTATTTTATTGAAGCTGGATCAGACAAGATATTTGTACGATAGTTAGCCCAAGATAAGATTTATTTGGCCTAATATATAATGTATTTTTGTGAATGGTCTGTTTTCTTTTTTAAAAATATGTTGGTATTGATTTGAGAGAGAGAGGAAAAGAAAGGAAGAGAGAGTGAGAAAGAGGGAGAGGAAGAGAGAGAGAAACATCAGTGTGAGAGAGAAACATTGATCCTGTACATGCCCTGTCTGGGATGGAACCCACAACTCAGGTTGGTGCCCTGACCAAGAATTGAACCAGCAGTCTTTCTCATACTAGCCAGGGAAGTCCATATTTTCTTGAAAGAAATTTAATGATGCTAAAGTCAAATTTATATACTTTAAATAAACCATATTAATAATATTTTCTCTCCCTATCCATGTTAATTATATGACAATTTGAAATTGATAATTAATAAACATACATTCACAATTATTTGTTTCTGCTCATAATATTTTCATTTGTAGGTACATTTAACTTGAAGCAATATTGATAACTGTATGTGATTTGGTGGTCATTGCCTTTATTATTATTTTTTTTCTGATGTTAAAAATCCTCTTTGTCACTCATGCAGGATTTTGCTTTAAATTTTATATTACCCATTGTAAAAAATCACTGATTTTATTCCTTTGCTTCATCTTTAATTACTATGTGTTGTCCATTTGTGTATTTTCCACATTTCTATATTTTTCTTTATTGCCTTCTGTAGAAAATAAATCTCTGGTTTTTAATACTTTATGATCATTGAGTAAACATT